ATGAACGTCCGGTCAGCATTTCATCTGCTTTGCCCACTCGCCCATGGCTTCAGGAGGGGAATAGGAACTAGAGCGCAGCCTCTTATTTACGTTTACTCTCTTCACCTAAGTAATATCGCCTCAAGATGGGAGGTGCGACAAGACCACCCTCCGCTGGGAACAAGGCATCCGACTGCTGGAAATTGGGGGTCAATTTGAATCCAGCTCTGCAGGCGGGTCATCATGCCCTTGTTCTCCACCTGTAATAAAACGCAAAATATTGTTAATAAATCCTTTTTATTCAACAATTCCAGAGAATATTAAACAACATACCTGCTCCAGACTACAGGTATCAAAAAAGGCTCTCAGATCCTTTAACGACTTCTTGGCGAACAAGTATGAAGGTTTGACCGATACATCTCCAACCAAAATACCAGCCCAAATCCAAGATCAACATGAACCCTGCTCTGGGCGAGTTGAAAGGAAAGATACTCATATGCCCAAGTCTATGAAAGGAAGAAACAAAAATCAAGGGAAAAAGGAATAAAAATAAAAAAAGAAAAAAAATAATAATAAAAAAAAAAAGAAGAGAAGGAAGAACAGCCCTTTACGCTCCCAGAAGTAGTAATCCCGCTTGAGTTTAACAGTGGCTTCGACTCAGATCACACATGGTCACATACATACGACTCAGGATAGCACCGCGCCCAGTCACTCCTTGAGGTTGGCCAGGTTTTCTAAACTCTTCAAGATAGAAGGACTTAAAACTTCTCCTTTCCTGTATTGCAGACCAGAAAGTCGATGGCAATAAATAGCAGCAAACAAAGTGAACCTAGCTGTCTGAGTAGCCGGTCAGCTCTCTCGGCCTGTAGTCTAGCAATAAGTGTTAGGAGCCTGGAGTATAGCCAGCGTCTGGAAATGCTCAAAGCCGGGGTAGCAGAGTTTGGCCCGACAACCCGAGGTAGCGCCAATCCCGATCAGCTCCACCATTCCGGTCCGGGGAAATACTCGTCCTCCAGTCGTCGAATATTCGATCGCCGAGTGCCAAGACGATCCCGGAGATCACTGAAAATTCTACCGGAGTCATGTTCAACTCGCCCCAAGAAAAATGAAAGTGGTTAGTGGGTCCCCACCATCTCTCGGCCAAAGTGCACAGTAACTCCTGCGGACTGATCCGCCCATATCCTGGTGCCTCAGGTGGCGTCTAAATTGGGACGACTGATAATCGCCCCAATGGGTGGCTAGGATCAAGTACCTCGAGCGGGATTCGGACATAGAAGTCCTCACCACATCCACTTTAGACAAAAGGTCCTTGAAAAGGGAAAGCCAATCTAAGAGTTGTTCTTGGTTCTTTACTAAGGCACAATATCTTAGTTTCACACAAAAAAAAAAAAAAAAAAAACCAAACCGCGCCACGGAGGCCCACAAACATCCCACCAATTCGCCACTAAGGCCCGAAAATTCACAATCCCGGCCGCGGGAGCCCAAAAAAATTCACGATCCAGCCTTGAGTCCGAAATTTCACTACTTGGCCATGAGGCCCAAGCGACCATAAATTCAGCCACAGGAGGCCCAAAAAAAGAAAAAAAAAAAAAAAAAAATAAATTCCTAGGTGCGGTCTAAGGGCCCGAAAAGGAGCGTAATGATAATAATACATTTGCAAACAAATAGAGCGAAGAGTGGCTTACCTGGGCAAGATGCCGGTTACGGAGGCGTTGAGGTATCGGCGATACCAAGGTAAAGAATTGACTTCCTACGAACAGAAATTCTCTATAATCCCAGAGAATCCTCATCACTGAAAATCCGAAGAAGCCATAGAGAGAGTTTTGAAGCCTTGAAAGTTGAGAGAACTGAAGGAAAAGTTCCTTGATCTAAAGAGTTGAGAATGAATGAAAATGAAGATTTCAAGCATGTTATAAGCAAATGGCTGAGGCGCGGTCTTTAAGACGCGTCCGATTCGCCTCCAAAATTGTGGTTTCAGACAAACCACCGACTCCCATAAAAATCATTTTATTGCGTCGCCGGCGGGGGGGCAAACTGTGAATACTCAAATTTTGAGGCTCGAAAAGCATGTTTGTTCGGACCTGCCAGAAACTGTCGGACCGGACCCGAAGGCCATTTGGAAGTTCACCAACAGTAGGCCCAATATGTTATTAAAACGTCCGGAATGTCGCAGGGATCGCGAAAACAGGTTCCCAGAATATTTTTCTGAGTCCGGAACTCCCGAAAATGCCTCCGGAGTGAAAGACCCGAGGTCGCCGCCGCCACTGGCAGCTCCTGCCGCCGGCCAAAGGGCAGTAACCTGCCGCCCTTAGGCTCGTTTTGGCCTATAAATTGGCCTCTCCCCCTTCATTTTGACTTGCTCAGTCTGTGTTTGCACCGGACACTTCCTTCTCCCTCTACGCTTTTGCGCATTCTTTTATCGCTTTTAGCATTTTTAATTCAATTTTATGTTTAGTGTGTATGTTATTTGGCCCATTAAAAATTAAACAAATTCAAACTAATTAATATTTCCTACGCGAGGAGCTAAATCTGGAATTAAGAAAGCGCGTCGTCGATTAAATCAGTATGTAAACAAAACTCTGCTATTTAGTATTTTTTTTCTCCAAATAAAAACAGTTTTATTTATATCTCAAGTAAGAAGCCAGAACAAATCAAGATATAATGAGACTTCTAATAGTGTCGTCGGCAGAGAATCAAAAGAAGAAAAAAAGCTTAACGAGGTATGAGTAATTCTGCTCTGAATTGCAATAGAAGTGAGCTACTTGATTGCCCTCCCTGTATAGAGTGTGATGTTAAGAAGTATTGAGGATAGAAAGGAAGACCGAATAGATTAATCTTCTGGTCAGACCAAACTAGTTGGTGTTCTGTAATTGAATTAGAATGCAAGAAATTCTACTTCTATTTGGAAAGGGTATCGGGAATTCTTTGAGTACACCACTTGATACTTTCATGTTAGAGCATGAAGCGCTCAGCCTGAAAAGGAGAAAACTTGCCTGAGAAGAGAAAGGAAGTGGCCAGCCACAAAAATTCCCATGTGAAATTCCGAATGGACAGCGCCCTCTAGAAGAAAGAAAAAACGGAAAAGGAACATTCACGTTAATTTATAAAACAGTTGCAGTCGGCTTTCTCCAGTAAACCAAAGAGAGTTTACGCTGATTCTCTAAACCAAAAACTAGCAGCGAAAGCAGATCGGTTTAGAGCATTGCAGGTTTTCTAGTAACTTGCGATGCGAAACAGAACAACTCCCCAGTCAAAAAAAAACTTACTAATCTGTTGCTTGAAGTAACATGAATTCCTGCATCACCTCACCCCAGCTGGAAATTTACCAGTATAATTTCCATAATATGCCACATATACTAGAGGAACTAGACACGAAGGATTGCTTACAGAACTTTTGTGGACCGAGAAACTAAATACCATTTATCAGCTCTTGACGCAATGTACTACAAGTAGAATTGACCGCCACCAGAAAAAGCCAAATATTGTCTATAGAAATTCGCATACCATAGAACCTATAGGACAATGAAGAAACAGATGATCAATGTGATTGATGAGCAGAACATAGAGGACCACAATAAGGCCCATTAATCCCTAAACACCATTCGAAACTGTGAGGAAAGAGGAAGAGCGAATTGAGGAGCAACTCCAAGTAAAGGCCGAGAGTTTTTTTAGGAATAGAAGAGTCCCACCATCAAGCTAAATAAACAATGTGTGCTTTTATTGTACTCGAACATGCTCATAAATAACCCGCAAAGAAGTGACACAACCTCTGCAGAATTCTTTAATTCCGAAGCCACTTCATGAACACGACAAATGCGTTTCCAAAGAGCAAAGAATCAGTCGCTGAAAAGACATAAAACCTTTTACGGGTGATACCTCTGAAACATGTAGTGGAACCATATCGAATGCGCTGCAATATAAGAAGAACCAAAGGCTGACTGTAGTATGCTTGTTGAATGGAAAAGAAAGGGATCCCAGACCCTCGCAGACCCAAACCGCCCTCAGCAGTAGGGAAACAAATTTTCTGGAATTTAACCCAATGATGCTTATTAGTTGCATCTGTTTTACCCCATAAAAAATCTGCCATTTGAGTCTCTAAAATACCAAAAACGCGAGCTGGAAGCTTCATAGCACCCATAATATGTATGGGAATTGAACTCAAAACATGCTTAATTAAGACCAATCTACCACCCATCGACAAAAAAGTCTTAGACCATCCCATAAGCTTAGCAGCGATCTTTTTAATCAACTCATTACAATAGGAAGTACGATTAATACCTTGGTAAATCGGGGCACCTAGATATGTGAAAGGGAGGCATTTCTTTTTAATTGAAAGAGATGCTTCAATAGTTGAGACGGTCACGGGACCCAGTTTTTTTGAACAATAGAAAGAGCATTTTTCAAAGTTAATCATCTGGCCCGAAACATCTTGATAGTAAAGAAGAAACTTTTTGAAATTTGTGGTACTACGCTTATCCCCCCTAATGAAGATCAAAAGATCATCTGCAAAGCTTAAATGAGTAACAGGGGAACAATTGCGAGCAAGCTTATAAGGTTGAATTTTTCCAGAAGAGACAAGATGTATCAAACCACGAGAGAAACATTCAGAAACCAGAATAAATAAGTAAGGAGAAAGAGGATCCCCTTGCTTGACCCCTCTAGATGGTGTGAAGAAACCATAATTGATACCATTAACACAAACTGACAGTCTGGTGGCCGAAAGGTTAGCTAAGATCAAACTATAATGAAAATATTTAATCTTATATTACATTAATTATTATTTCGTACAAATAATACGCTTATACATCTATCCTAACTCATATTTCGTAATCAACATATCATTATTAATAGATTTGAAATTAAGAAAGTTTCAGATTTTATAGGTACAGTGAGATTCGCTGGTAAACAAAAAGTAAAATACGTTTGCAACGTCATTAATTTTCACATTTCAGCTTCATAGATTTGAATTTATATATACATGTATTCACCTAAAACAATATCACTGCCTTAGTCATCAAGAAGAACTATCATTTTTTTTTTTTTAACAAAAGCCCAAATCCCATCGCAACATCACAATAAAGAAACCCATTGGAGTTTTGCTAGTTATGGCAATGCTAAATTCATTTGGAAGCGGTGTGCGAATTTCACAAGAATGGCTACAAGTCGATATGCTTTTAGTTCGTGGAAGAAGAAAAAGAATTATTGAAGGCTCTGAACAAGATCAAATGAGAAAAGAGAAGAAAAAGATTAAAAATAGAGCATCTGCTGCTAGATCTCGACAAAAGAAAATCGTAATGTTTAATTAATTTTTTATACATCCAAAATACATATTAAATAAATTTAGTAATTCATTGGGAAATAATTAAGTTTTTAAACGAAATATCACTCTTCATTTTTTTTTTTTCAGGAGAAGACAAAATTTATGGAAGAGCAAGTTGACGAATTGAGAAAAGAGAATACTCAAATGGAGAGATTAATTAAATTAATGGTAATTACCACTTTCTTTTTGATAAAAAAAGAAAAATTAAATTCTATAATTTCTTTTTTTTTTTTTTTGTAGTTTTATATACAGATTAATAGATTAAAATTACCTAAAATGATGAGTATATATAGTACATAAAATTGTTTAGAGGATTAATTATAGCATAAATAATCTTGAATATATTGGCAGATGGAGGAAGAGGAGGAGAAGGCTGAGGAGACTGCCAATAGGCCTTCAAGTCTGAAAAGGACCTTCAGTACACCGTGGTGATCATGTTTTTCCATCAAATGGCTAATAAATATAATTTATATTGTGAAACTTTTTCCTTTTATGGTGAACTAAAGTTCATATGTAAAATTTATATTGAAACCGTTTTCTTTAAAGATTGGCTACAAAGTACTATTGTCTTCGGTAGAAATTTTTTTCTTAATAATATTAATATTCATTATCTTAGTTAACAAAATTAAAAAATTAAAAAAGAAAAATAATATGTACATTATTCGACTTAACAAAATAGGAGAATTAAATAAAGATACGAAAAAAAAAAAAAAAAAGATTACCAATTTATGTCAAAGCTCCCGATACTCCCTTAAGCCCCAATCCTAATCTAAATTCTACACTTATTCCAAAACACAAATAATCATCACAATATCTATGGAGTTTATGAATCTTGTGATGTATTTATCTCAAAATAATAATTGACATTATTAATTTGGGATATCCAAACTAATAGTTTACTTTACTAATTTTATTAGAAATAAACAAATTAAAAAGGTTATTTTGTTTATAATATCATACAAATAACTTATTGATTTCTAAGTCACTCTATACTAAAGAGGGGTTAGTTACCGGAATTCATGTTTCCTTCGGAATTTTTTTTTAGAGTAGTTACTAAGGATATGAATGCACTCGCCATTTAATAATTGGATAGAAGATTGATTCTCTTTCGGTCTCGATGGATTACGGTCAAAGAACTGTAAAAAATGATTATTTTACAACTCGATCTTGTGACTAAGTGTATAATCTAATGTACCTAATCACTAGATCAAGCTTTCATTGTCATCTGAAATACTAGAGAAGTGGATTTCTAGGAAAATAATTTTAGGAATATTGAATAATCATATACTTGAACGACCATCAAGAAAAAAAATTAATAATATGACAAAATTATTTCATTAAAAATAATTTTCTGAAGATTCATACTCAAATCAAATTGAACTGTAATTCATTATGAGATAAAAGGAATATTATTTAATTGTTTCATATAAACATATATAGCTATGAGCAAATTAATTTATCAATATGTTTTTTTAATAATTAATGGGTCTAATCCCTCTAGCAAATTAATCCCTCAGTATTTCATTCGAGCAAGAAAGGACCATAGGAAGAAACCAAAAAATAACTCAATAGCCAAAGGAGGTTGCTAAGCTTCATCAACAACTACAATAAGGAAAGAAATACCAGTAAGAGGAGAAAGAGAACGAAGGTTTTGTGTCTAAGTAGCAAAATACGCCATTAATAATTAGTAGATAAAGCCTTAGTATTACCCCTAATAGGTATAAGAGGCAAAGCATGATCAGCTCATATTGATGCAACAATGGTATCAAGAGGAAAAAAAGATCTAAAAGTAACCACCATATTTGGAACAGAGGAACGAATAACCAATGTAATAATTGGAGTAGGAGGAGGAGCAGATCAAACAACATTCTAAGAAGTCTCCTTTTGAGGGGTTCAACATCGACCTCAATCTACTCTTGAGCTTCATGAGCTTTCCTTTTGCCATTGTCCTCTAGCTCATTTGACCTTCCAAAATAGAGCTCCTAATCATGATGGTAGTGGAGACTTCTATTCAAATAGACCTAAAAGAAATACTTCTTACAGAAATATATACATTTCACATCAGTTTAAGCAAATGTTAGAAGCACAGAAAGTTAGTAAAGCAAAAGTAGTATAAATTACTCGCAGAACTCAAATAAGTGTTCTGCCATGCTTCTATCCTGCTTATGAAGACAATCAATATCATAGTTAGTGTTGTGGTCTTTAAGATGCAAATTTAGTATGGCTTCAACAATTTAAGAAGGATTCTTCGTTAAAGGTTTGAAAGAATAGGACATATGGGTTGTATGCCATACATTGTCACCATCACAATGGATGGAAAAGAATCATCACTTCCATACACATTTCAGATTGATGAGAATCTTCTTTAATCATTTTTTTATTTATCTACATTGAGAAAGACAAAAAGGCGCCAATGGCTTTATTCTAGGAATGAAATAGACTAAGGAAGGTTTCAATTATTAGCTTTTTATCTAGAAATCTATTAAATATCACCGATTAATTTAGAAAAGTCACTACTAAAATGGGCTGCCATAATAAGCCAAGACTTGGGAAGCCTTTTTAGCCCAAAGATAGTTGATCTAAGCCCACAAAGTGTGTAAATACCTAGGGCATTCTAGAATACTCCCACTCAAAGATATTTTGTGAAATGTCTACCTAACTCTAGAATGTTAGTTGATCTAGCCCACAAGTTGTGTAAATACCCTAGGGCATTCTAGATACTCCCACTCAAGATCACTCAAAGATATTTTGTGAAATGTCTACCTAACTCTAGAATGTTCCTTATAATCTAGACCGTCCATTTTTGTAAGCAAATCTTAGCCGTACATTGAGGATGTGGAAATGTCTATAAATACCACCCCTCCTCTCATTTGTAAGCACCAAGCAAAAACCAAGTAAGTAATCTTTTCCTTAAACTTTATGAATATTTGCTTCTTATTAATACAATTATATTTGGTGTTTTATGTTAGTATTATTTTGGTTGCCTTTCCCGTTATTATTTTTGGTGTTATAAATTATTAATCAATCTTGGAGTTTATCACTATCACTGCGCTGATATTCCAACAAGTGGTATCAGAGCATGGTTGTGGTTGGCTAAGTTGTTGTAGCCGTGGTATTTTGTGGTGTTCATTTACAAGTTTAGGGTATTGTTAATCTACTGGAATTAACAGTCGGGGACTGTTGTTGAAGCAACAAGATTCACAAGCCAGGATTGTGATCGTGATTGGTCAAGGACCGTCGTGCATTGGTTAGTGTTAGGAACACCAGTACCTTATGGCGGATTTTTCTAGAGTTGCTAATAGCAACGAGAAGCTAAATAACAACAATTACGGGAACTGGAGTACCCGTATGAGATATTATCTAATAGGTCAAGACTTAATAGGTCAAGACTTATGGGATATCGTCGAAGGAGATAATACTACACAACCAGTTGGGGTTGCGAAAGCTCTGAAAGAGTGGGAGACAAAATGCGGGAAGGCGATGTATGTGTTGACGGTTGCAGTAGAAGATGAGCAGATGCAACGGATCAAGTCGCCTAAAACACCAAAGGAAGCGTGGGCCATCCTCAAGTCTGCTTTCGTCAAGAAGAATGAAGCAAAACTGCAATGGCTCGAAAACGAGTTGTTCTCAATCTCGCAACAGAACCTCACTGTAAGTCAATACTTTTCTAAAGTAAAATCTTTAGTAAAATCTGTATGTGAAGAGATTTCGGAATTAGATCAAACAATGAGATCAACGAGACAAGGGATGAGGAGATCATCAGTCATGTCAAGACCGAATTTAAGGGCCTTTTGATGCTAATCGTGGTTGGGCTACAAACCAACCTTAGACGAGTTAGGAGGATATCTTGCTCCAATGAAGAGGGAACTTGGAAGAAAAAATGTCTAAAGTAGCTTTGAAGCGAGCATGAGAGAAAGCTCTCTTTGCTAAAAAGAGAGTGATTTCACAACGTTGCGGAGAGTAGCATGGTGGAAAAGAAAGGAGTAATCAACAAAGGATGGAGAAAGCAAAAATGGAGACCCATCACAGCCCAAAGCAAGGGGGAGCAAGGCCAGGACAAAGGAAAGACGACTGGTGAGAAAGTGATCATTGCTATAAGTGCAACAAAAGAGGACATTTTGCCCGAGAATGTCAAAGCAGACGAGTAGAAGGAAACACAACATCAACTCAGAACGAGCAACAAAATGAAAAGGAATGGGATATTCACAGTTCCTTTGTTCAGGAGGAAGAATATTCGCCACAAAAGCCAGTAGAGATGATGATGAAAGGACCCGAGTAGGAGTCATCATTAATATCTGTAAGTGACAGAATCAACTATGATGATGATTGGATAGTTGATTCTGGAAGTTCTGATCACATGACATGAAACAAGGAGAAATTATCGGATGTATCCGATTATGATAGAGGTCGTGTTATAGTCACAACAAATAATACGAGATTGCCAATAGCTCACATTGGAAAGACCATTGTTTCCCTCCCTTCAGTAAGGAGAGAATGGAGTTTTACCAAATGGTTACCATGCTGCCAAGGATGAAGAAAAAACTTGCTCTCTGTATCACAAATAGCAAGTGCAGCGTAATATTAATTATGTGGTGTTTGGTCCTGATAATGTGAAGGTTTATCGTAACCTTAAATTAATCAAAGATCCAGTCATGGAAGGACGGCAAGTAGAATCAATCTACGTTATGTCAGCACAAGAAGCCTATGTTGACAGAACAAGGAAGAGTGAGACAGCTGACTTGTGGCACACTCGTCTGGGACATGTTAGTTATCATAAGTTGAAGGTGATGATGAAGAAGTCCATGCTTGAAGGTCTTCCTCAGATGGAATGCCGAGAAGACACTATATGTGTTGGATGCCAGTATGGAAAAGCTCACCAACTTTCCTTTGAAGAGTCAAAACATAGAGCCAAGGTGCCATTGGAATTAATACATTCAGATGTTCTTGGACGGATCAAGCAATCTACAAACAGTAATATGAGGTACATGATTACTTTCATTGACGACTACTCGAGATATGTTTGGGTAGATTTCATGGTAGAGAAGTTCATGGTAGAGAAGTCAGAAGTTAGAAGTCAGAAGTTTTTGAAAAATTCAAAGCTTTCAAGAACAAAGTTGAAAAAGAAGTCGGAAATAAAATTAGATGCCTTCGCACTGACAATGGTGGAGATTACACATCTGATGAATTCACTAAATATTGCCAAGAGTAAGGCATTCGAAGGCAATTCACATGTCCAAGAACACCGCAGCAAAATGGAGTTGCTGAGAGAAAGAATCGACACCTAATGGAGATTTGCAGGAGTTTTCTCCATACGAAGAATGTGTCAGCTAGATTTTGGGCAGAGTGCATGAAGATGGTTGTATACGTCACCAACAGACTACCTCAAGTAAGACTGGAGTTTACATCCCTATTCCAGAAACTGTGGAACATTAAACGAACTGTAAGTCATTTTCGCATTTTTGGATGTGTGTGTTATTATGTCTCATTCCGCATGAACTTCGAAGCAAGAATTTGACAAACAAGGCACTTTGCTTGCATATTCGTGGTTATGATGAGCGTTATGATGAGC